TCGAATGCATACGTTTGCAGAATATTAGAGTTTGCAGCTGTGACTAAAAAATCACGCTGCGAAATGCGCGGGCGGCGCGGCCGGCGCAAAAACCGGCTGCAAAAACCGCCGCAAAAATCCGCCGCAATATCCGGCGCAAAAAACCGCCGCAAAATCCGCCGCGGAAACCGCCGCGAAAACCGCCGCGAAAACCGCCGCAGATCGGTAAAATGATCTATCGAAAGCAGATAGAAAAAATTATATCGGTAATTACCGATCATCAATATTATGTAAAGATGACAGTAAAAATTATGTAAAGAATATATATGTTGGTAAAAAATTAAATGTTGGTATATAATATCGGTAATAAATTAACGATCGTTGGTATTATCGGTAATTATGTTGGTAAAAATTATATGTTGGTAAAAATTATATGTTGGTAATAAAATTAAATGTTATATAATATCGGTAAAAATTACCGACCGCCGGTAACATCGGTATGCCCCCCCCATTACCGACTGCTGATAACCCCCTCCCCCACGGTGACGTCATACCCCCCTCGCCCGCGTTACCCCCCGCCCCTCACCCCCCCTCGGAGGACCATGGGTTAGAACCCGCCTATAATACCTACTCCTACCGGTCAAGTGTTCGAGTATAATTGGCGAATAGACTCACGGTCGCTTATTGTAGGGCTTATTGTAAGGAAATTTTTCTATTTCTATATCATCGTCGCAATTTTCATCACTAGAAGAAGTAATTCCTTTTTGGATTCTTTTTCTCTTCTTTCTCCCAGTTATTTCATCGATATATGTATTAATGTCAGTAAAGATTTCGGATTCTTTTAATTTTGCGAGTCCTTTCCGAAACGTATCTGAAATAACATATTTAAAAATGAGTAATAATCAATACGAATAGAATGTGAGTGGGTTTCGATTGACCACGGTACGATTGGACATAGATTGTAATGATTGGTTCGACCTAGTAATTCACAAGATAATTCTTATCATCGATTGGTTATGTCCAATCGTACCGTAGTCAATCGGAATAGTCCCATAGAATTTATATATGAAGGTAGTGAAATAGTCTGAAAACAGTATATAATAAATTCAATAAGATTCACCAGTTTCTGCTAGAACTGAAATGATATTGTATTTTTCCCATTGCAAATTATACGGCTCTTTATTTACAACTAATTTATAGTATTTAGACTGGTTCTGTAATTTTGGCCAATAACAAGTGTTATCTTCTTGTAACCAAAGTTTGGGTACTAATTGAACACCGTCGACAAATTCAACAACTGCAAACTCCGTCATGATGATAATCTGAAACACATTAAAAATATTAATTTTTAAGGAACAAATGCAGCAAAATAATTTATGTTAATTTCATATAAATCTAAATTAATTATTATTTCTTAATTTGTGACTTATTAATTTTTTACTAATATTGTTCAAAATATACTAATTCTTACATTTGTCACATTGAAATACTTATATAATTATAGCCAAATAAAAACTATCTATTAAACTATCTTAACTATCTTATAAAACATCCGAATTCAACAAACACGTAACCAGATACTTTGTAGGACAATCTAACATAGAAAATTTAACATATTTTTTGCATACTGATGATAACGGCCATCGTCTTATTTCTTTAAACAGATCAGATACTACGTAAATTCCAATAATGGATGAAGGGCAAGGTTCTAAATAAAAATTTGTTATTATGTTATATTTTTTTCCGATAACAAAATACTCTCTCTCAATGGCAGAGAAAGTGATAAATTCCACTTCTATAATAGAATTATCAAGTAACCCACAGCATCTATCTTTCTCCAACGAAGTATTTAAAATAATATTGCCGCAAGTCGCAGAAAGGTAATATGGCCCGGAACAATTCAATATCACGGGGTGTACTTTAAGTTTACTATGCATAAGAGGTTCAAAAAAGTCGTGGCGGTTTATGGTTTTCATTGCTTTTTGTGAAAATATTTCAATTTCAATATACCGTCGGTGCAACTGTCCAGTTACATTATCAAATTTTCTAAGCATATTTTTTATGGGTGTATATCAGTTGGACACGGGGCAATTGGACACAGTCCAATCACAAGTCGCTGTTCCAAGGGACTCTACAAATGTCTCTAATCATACGGTGCTGTGATTGGCTGTGTTTAAATGCACCGTGTCCAAGTGCACCGCTCCCATTTTTTATTTTCATAGGGAAGTTTTCATATTTAAATGCGCTAAAATTGTTAACAGTTCCAAATTTTTGGCATTCTTGTACCAAATGGAGAAGGCAGTGCACATTGTGTGATACAAATTCAGGTCCATAAATTTTTATGGCAGTACTAACAAAATGCAATAATAGTTCGTGTGCGTATGCCCCATATAGCAACAATAGCTTCTCATTACA